ATCCAGTAATTTATAAAAGATTTCTTATCATTAGGAGAGACAAAAGCTGAGCATTTCCACTCGTTTCTTATGAATTATTGAACAAGAATTTGATGCATGCACCGTGTGGTTCTCTGCTGCCGACTTTTGATGCAAAATTTCGAAACTCTTTGTTGTTAGAATAACAAAATAGAAACAGTGCTGCCATGGCAAAATTATACTGCTTACTGAAATGAAAATATATGTAGTTAAGTGTATCCCAATCCCACACAACCCCTTTATAGCTACCCATCATCGACATACCATCATGTTCATCTGACTTCAGTTTAAACTGGATGTTGCTCAATACTACTAATTAATTGTACCCCAGCTTGTCACAGTATCTCTTTCTAAACTTAAAATGTCCATGTATCCATAGCAAACCTTCAGTCCATAACTGTTTATGAATTGCTCAACTTCTCTGCTTGCTTACCAACTAAGTTTCCACACACTCTCTGTTGTAATGCGTTGAGGTCTTGCTGTTGACTCAATATATTCAATCTTTACATTTCTATATAAGTAACCTTTGCCTATAGGCATCCCTGGTTGGGAATTTCTGTTGTCGATCACAGCTCCATACAAGGACTTGGGACTACGAGGACCACACTGTTCACATATTCTGTGCGAGGGCGGACTCGGCAGCGAGAGAGCGGTTATCCTTGAGGACAGGATGGGAGGACGCCCTTTCATATAATGGTTTAGACAAAGGATAAATGAGTGGAGTGGACCCGCTCTGAGGACAGAGAGGACAGGTAAAGGACGGGACATGCAGGGCTGGCATCAGTCTGGCCTGGCCTACAGGCTCAGCTCAGTCTCTCCCTTTCTACTGCTCTGTTTTCATTAAGTCCCTAACCGGATTTTTCCAATACCAACAGTCCCCCCAAAAATCCTTCTCTATGGGATATTCAACCGGCATTATTCTTGTCTTTCCTCTGGAAACAAGACATCCAATCTGCCTCCTCACCATTGTCTTCCCACCAGACAGCCCAGTGAATGAATGCTCTCGGCCAAATCCCCCCTTTCCATGTGCAGACGCAGACTCCATTGCCCACAGATACACTCGGCTCTAATTAGGCAGACCGCTGGACGTGTTGCTGGGGGAAATCTCTCTGCACAGACTTATCATCTGGTGGCAGCTTTACAGATTTACGTCTTTTCATCTAGTTTGTGTGGATGTGTGTAAGCTGGTGCTGGGGGAGAGAAAGACAGGGAGGTATTTTAGTTGTGTTTGACAATTTGGTGATGAACACATTCCATACTTCTAATATATGCCACAAAACAGCCCTCAAAGAAACGTGGCAGCGAGCGTGTGAACGTGTGTGTCCGTGCTGCAACATGTTGCGCAGCCTTGCACAGCCCTGCTTGTTCATGCACTTACAGAGTGTACAGTATGCCTCAGATCTACAGAACTTGCTGAGCTTTCCCCCGAGACCTGCGTCATCAGCACCGAGGTTATTTCCTGTAGTTGAAGAGCAGCATGACTCTTTTCCTGTTCTGTGTGTGAAGAAGCATCAGTTTGTCCCCCCCGTGCCAGTTTCTTCTATAGTGGGCACAACTTACACGGCACACAAGCAGTTTCTAACACAACTTGCTCCCCTTGTGTTATTTCTTCATTCAGGATATCCCAAATAAAAACATCCCTGCTCGATTTCAGCATCTGAACATGAATAAATATTAAAAGTATGAATCTCGCCAGTCTTTTTTTTTAAGTCCAATGTTTAAAAAATATCACTTCAGGACACAAAAACATAAAACTGTCAGGGTGGTTATGTTTAAATGTCAAAGGCACAGTTGTATAGCTGTTTCGAATTAAAAGAGCAAAGCCAATATAGCTTTCAAATTCGCTCTCGGCACATTCATGGATTATGATTACCACCTGTAGGCCTAACAGCTCTGGCTCCATAAAAGACAGCTAAATATAAATAAGAAGTTCAACCTCAAGGAATGAAAAATGAAGTAGGAAGCACTATTCCACAACATGCATGAAATTTTAAATTAACAAATGCATAGTGTACTCAAGGGGAGACATTTCAGATAGTACAAAATGTGGCACTGATGTGCATGCAACACAATTTCTGGAAAAACTTGTTGCTTTGCTTGTTATTTTGAGTTAACACTGTTGTGACCCAATTTCCAAAAAAAGACCCAGGGCATCGTGACTATAGTTAACTAAATCTATGAAACACACAGCATTAATGAACTTCAGCATACAGACAATCGCACAAGTCTCCTCTCTTCTTTTTTTTTAACCCAAAGACGAGAGCTGTTACCTCCCCTGAATCATCTCCTCCCTCTTCTTCTGTGTCCCTGGGGAGGCTTTGCAACGCAGCCCCTTCCAGCAGCTTCCTCCTAACAACAAAAACATTGTTTTATTCTATTTTATTTTTTTTTCCTTCCCTCCATCTCAGTGGAGCTATTACTCTGCCTTATTCTGCATATGACCCGGGGGCGATGGGAGGCGGAACACATTGGCCGTGGATGATAATGCCGCTCCACGGAGCAGAAATCTATGAGCTGCAGTTCTCCGGTGGTGTTTTTTGCAGCTATTTGGTTTTGCTGTACTACAGTAGAATGGAGGAGAGTAATGCTCTCATTGTGGCCTGCTGGTAACAGTTTCATATGATATTATTACATTAACCCACATAAAACAGAGGGAAAGGCACCGAAAAGCATGTGTCCGTGCCAGGAACGGTATGCATCCTCAAACCTAGCAGATGAAAAAGACGATTTAAATTCCCAAAATGTGTACTGTATGACATAGCACTTTCCCACTCTAAGAATATATGACTGGTGTTTAGCAGGTACAATGTTTACATGTTCATCTGAATATTAACATGTGCAAGAAGTGCAAAATTGCAGTTTAGGCTCATAGGGCTGCCTTTAGTTATGCAGACATTTGTTCAAAAACAAGAAACAAAATGAAAAATGAGCTAATGTTGGCTGTTGTTAAGTTATTAGATTTCATCCAGATGAAGGAATACATGTCTGTGCAAGATTTACAGACATTTTATCCAAATTTCCTTCATGACCATGCATGTAAGAACACACAGAAAAATCACCAAACTTATTACACTTCATCCTCTGGGGAGCAAGAATATCTGTACAACATTTCATGGCCATCCACCCAATAGGTGAAGAGATATTTCAGTCTGGACCAAAGTGGTGAGCTGATCAAAAGACATTACTAAAGTCATGCTGCTACTGTGCATAAAACTATTAATTCCTAATTGTCCTCCAACACCTGTGTGTGTTCGTTTTGCTCTGTAAGTGGGCCACATGAGCAGGCAGCAGCCTGGTACAGAGCCGACACTGGGACTCAGTGGGACTACAAAGGGCTGAAATTTGATGCACATGCAAAAACAAGCAAATCCCACAGGAGTCCTCCTTCAAGTTAAGTTTTTATTCCCCAGCCAAACACTTTCTCCCCCACTTTTGTTCAAAGATAAATTTGCTGTTAACTACACTTGGCAGAGATCAAACAAATATGGCATTTTTTGGGATGTGGGGTGGAGGTGAGGTGTTAATTTTGTGTGTTAGGTGCACTGGCCGCGTAACTCTGAAGGAACTTTGCGACTGTACGATAGAGTTTATATGGATGAGTACATATTTCTTTATCCAGCTGTGCAGAGCCTTTCTCGCCTGCATCATCTTATTTTTATTTTCCCGATTTCCTGTTCATGAACAAAAATAAGACAAGTATGAGTCAGTAGCGGGTCATGCCCATATAGCAAAAAAAATAAATAAATTGCATGTTTTATACTTTGCTTTCACAACTTCAATGTCTGTAACCCCAAAAACATGCTGTTCAATCCATCTTAACTACATTTAAAATAGTTTTTTTCCCCCTTTAAGCTATGGGTTGCAGTTATTACATTTTATCTACTCTTAATTTTATCCCTTTTAGTTTTCTGATAGATCCGAATTTCCACATATACTGTTTAAAGTTTAAAAAAGTGTGATTTCTATTGAGTTATTTAATAGTTTGAGTACATGTGGCAGACTACACCAGAAGAAAGAACATCTTACTGTAATCATTGGACCCCCATCAGCAAGATAAAAGCCTCCACATTTCCAGCAGGCAAAGAGCAATGACACCTCCTAGTGGCTTAAAGTAAGTTTAGCATGAAAACTAAAAAAAAAAAAGAATGCTGCTTCACAATAATCATCATAAATACATTAAAAAAAAAACTGAAATGAATGGTATTGTTTGCAATCCTTCAAAAAGCAAAGGCAGCATGGTATATTAAAAAGAACAAAGGGGTTAAGAAAAAGTAAATAAAATACACATGAAAAGTACTGATCCTTCTCAGTTTGCTCATAAACTAGATTATTTTTAGGAACTATGAATGAACTCACATCATTTTACGAGTCCTTTAGCTTTTGTCTTTACTGCAAATGCTTTTTTTTTTCTTCAGTAGAGAGTGGGCTGAAAGTGCCTCAAACAAGAACTGTAGTTACTACAGAGGTCACTGAAGCTGAAACCGAGAAATACACTGCTTTAAAAAAAAAAACATCTTTTTTTTTTTTTTGCTTCATGTAAGAAAATTGGCTTCTTTTCTTTGCCATTTGTCATCAAGACTGCTGGTGGTTGGAGAAAACAAAACATTTAAAGACATTTCTTTGATCGCAGCAATTATTCGGCTATGAGAGTAATAGTGAGCTGCTGGCTAACAATGTGGTATGTGTGTTGGGACGGCAACTTTTATGTGGTGGGGATTTTAGCTCAGTTAGTGTCTGACTCACTGTACAGGGAATTGGATTTTGTGGGGCTTTCCAAAAACACAACAATGACTGAGTTGGCATGAAGATAATTAAAACGTGATGGAAATTTACAGTAGAAACTTTCACACTTAAATCTTTTGTATTTTACTGTTTTATCTGTAGGTTGTAGTGCAAAATGGACTTGTGGTGTGAAATTCACAGTACAGTTTGTGGTGAAAAAATAAAAGCGGAAATCCCCGCATGCGCAGTGTGACCTGTAAAAGCAGTTCGTATAACCATAGACAGTGTAACAGCAACAGTCACACATGTTAGACGGGGAACACAACATTTAAGGACTGTTGTAGCTACTTGCACGATGGCGAGCACATTTCATCCTTGGTTGATCATCTTTTTATTCCTCCATGTGTCACTGTAAGTAAAGTTAAACATATTACAGGTGTAAAGTTTGTGAATTAGTTGACATGTGTTGCCACACCCAGTGGTGATTTCGTATTGTTTTCGTGCTTCTATGTTTTAATGAACGTTATCGCAACTTTTATTGATAGCGGTGACTTTAGGGCTAAGGTTGTGTGAAGGTTAGGTTTTGTTAAAGACGATAAGTTGGGGTTTTAAGGCTTGTTAAGGTGCGGTTTCCGGAGAATCAAATCGATGGGTAACAAAATTCGCCGAAACACCTGAGTTCAAAGTTAAACAGTGACTGTCGCAAAGCAGAGAGACGTACGCTAACTAACTAACCGACTGTTTAGTTTTTATTTCTTCTAATTCCGCGAATATAAGAAGTGACTTTACTTTCACTTTCGGTTTCTGCTTGTTTCTTAGGGATTATTTTTCCGCCTCATCCGAGCCGGAAGGGTCAGTGTTCCGGGGCTCATTTAAAGAATTTACCCGTAGAAGAAGACAAGGGTGTCAAGATGGCACGTACGTGCATGAAGGCAAGACCTGCTGTTTGTGTGCTGCAGGTAAGTGTCACAGGTGACATGTCAACTTCAAGGGCAAGATTAAGACAAGATTATTAATGTAATTTTTGCTGCAGTCTCCAGTTAAGGTGGTGGCCCTTAAAGGATAAGTCAGGCTTATTTCATCCTGGTGAATTTCACATTAATGTGGCTGTTGGGCCTCTGGGCAGACAGTTTTGGCACAATGTCTCCTCCATGTAGTCTTTTTTCCCCCCTCACTCTTATCATTTGATCATGCAGGACACGTAGAAGTACTTGAGAACTTATATACAGTATAATAAGCTTTTTTAAAAAAAAATGTAACCCTCATTTGCCTTATCATATTCTCATAATACATACAGCCGTCCTCAAATGTATTCATACCCTTCCATTAAAGAAAAGGCAAAATTCACAATAGTCACTGAAA